GTGGCAGCAACCCTTCCAGCTGAATCCCAAGGACTCTGGCCAGTAAACAGTAGTGGTGTAGTGGTCCTGGCTCCCTTGGGGAAGGCCTTGTAGCTTCCTGGCTAGCTGTGCGTGGGAGCCCTGTCTCAGGGGTCTTCTGCTCACTCCCCCTTCCATTCTACAGACATGAACACCCCAAGGCTGGCCATAGTTGTAGCCACTTACCTATGGCCTCATGGCTGGAGAGCCAGGGGGCAGCTTTTGTCCTGCGGCCTGATGGCAAAGCCCTCCCTGTTGTTGCTAATACTTCTTAAAAATCATACGAGCATTAGACAAGAAACTTGAGGGCTTGAATTTGAAAGCTTCCCTTTACAGAGGACAGTGGTTTTCGGCTGGGGGTGGGGTTGCCCCTCGCCACCCCCAGGGGACATTTGGCACTGTCTGGAGGCATTTTTGTTGTCATCATCGTGGGGAGTGGTCCTTCCTGGCATCTAGTAGGTAGAGGCAAGGAGGCTGCTTAACATCCTATAAGCATACTTCCAACCCCCAAACAAAGATCTGGTTCAAGCCATCAATACTGCCGAGGTTGAGAAGCTCTGATAGGAGGGAAACCAAAGATTTCCCTTTCTGTTTCTAATCAGACCACAAGGTCTCTAGTTGTTCAGTTGCTAAGTTATATCTAACTCTTTGCGACCCCATGGACTGCAGTATGTCAGTTTTCCCTGTCCTTCACCATCTCCCGGAGTTCACTCAAACTCAAGTCCATTGAGTCAGTGAGGCCATCCAACCATCTCACCCTCTGTCGTCCCCTTCTCCTCCTGCCTTCAATCTTTCCCAGCATCAGGGTCTTTTCCAATGAGTCAGCCTGCACATCAGGTGGCTGAATTAATGGAGCTATAGTGGGCCTCAGAAATAAAACACCCCCCTGCCTCCACCACACACACAAGCCATATTTAAGTAAGATAAAGGATGAGATGGTCATGTCCACTGACTCAATGGACATGAATTTGAGCAAACTCAAGGAGACAGTGGAGGCCAGAGAAGCCTGGCATGCTGTAGTCCACAGTGTTGCAAAGAGTCAGATAGGACTTAGAGACTTAACAACAACAAAGATCTTTTTTTTCCGAGGCTGAAGGAACTTGGGATTAAGTGTGGCCTGGCGGCTCCCTGCAGGCTCTCTCCCTGTCAACCCTGGGCTGTCCTGACTCTTCCCCTGGGGGAGCTGATGATGGTACCTCCCCACTCTGGGTCATAGGTGGCACCCCACTACCTCCAGCCCTGATCTCCATTGGGGACCATTGTTCTGAACTTCCACTGCTGCTGAGAACCCTGCTCTGGGGTGTCCCAGACATGGCTCCCAATGCCCTGACCTGGGCTCCCCAGCTGGTGACTTCTCCATAGACCCTGTGGGCGCTTGTGCCCTGGCCTGGCCTCCTTGGCAGCTTCCCCGTGGCCCCACACTCTGTCCTATCGGATTCATGTCCACAGTCACTTTTCCATGCATGACTTCCGTGCTGTTTTCATCTCTTACTTGGAACCCCACACTCTCTCCATCTCGTCTCTCCAGGTCTCTCGTGGGTCAAATCTTTTGCTGAAACCACTGTGAAGTGTATCTTTCTAAAGTTGGTTTTTCTCAGTAGAGTTTTCTGGCCAAAAATCCTTCATGGCTTCCTTTGCTAACAAGAGAATGTCAATTCCTTATTGTGGGAGTCACGGTTCTCTACAACTGAGCTGTCAACCTCCTTCCCAAAGTGTGACCCTCTCCCTCTTCAACTCGACTTCCCCTTGGTTGAAGAAGGTGGCCTGGGCCTTCCACGATCTCGCTGGACCACCACCCCCACGATGGCATGAGTGGGTGACACAGCGCTGCTGTCCTGACCCACGGTTCCTCACTCTGCACCCCCGCCACCCCCACCCAGAATACCTACGCCTGTGCCACACCTAGTCCCTCCCGAAGGCAGCTCTGGTCAATGCCATGTGTCCCTGAAAGAAAGGGGATGCTGACCTCTCTAACAAGTACTCATTTCTCTGCCTTAAATTCTAGCAATTTATGGTAAAATAAAGAACAATGGTGGTCGTTACTGCGTGGCAGGTGCAACCAGGCATCAGGCACTCTTACCAACAGCCAAGGCATCTCATTGAATCCAGGCAGCTACCTGGTTAAAATAGACACCAACAGCTCCAGCTCCACTTTATAAAGAAGAAGATGAAGGTTCATAGCTTTTCATAGATTTGCCCAAGGGTGATCTAGTTGGGGGTGGTGCCTCCTTAATTGTGGGTCACCACAAAGCATCCGTGTGGCTGACTCAGTGCCCGCATCTGCTAGAGAACAAGCTCTGGGCTTAGAAAGGGCATCCATACTCCATCCATCCATCCATACATCCACTCATCTATTTATCCATTCATCCTTTCATCCATCCATCCATTCATCCTTCCATTCATCTATTTATCCATCCATCCACCCATTCACCCATTTATCCATCCATCCATTCATCCTTTCATCCATCCATCCATTCATCCTTTAATCCATCCATTCATCCATTTATCCATCTATCCATTCATCCTTCCATCCATCCATTTATCCATTTATCCATCCACCCATTCATCCTTCCATCTGTCCTCATCCTTTTATTTATCCATTCATCCTTTCATCCATCTATCCATCCATCCATCTATTCACTTATTTGTGAGGGAATGCACACATCAGCTAAGTGAATGAATGCATTTACTCACTCAAGAATCATTACTTACTTACTCAAGAATCATCGAGCTTTCTTCAGGGTATCAGAGGTGCTCCGGAAAAGATTTTCTGCTGCCTTCTGTTGAGAGAAGGAAATGAACACAGTTAGACCCCTGGTCAATTGAATTAGGACCTAAGTAACTTGAAAATAACTTCTGAATTCTAGAGCCATCACATGGTAAGGTTGGAAGGGACATGGGTGATTCTTCTGCTTCAGGGCCCTCATGTCACAGATAAGAACAGTGGATCCAGCCTGGTCAAGGGACATGCCGAGGGTACCTACCAGCCAGTGCCCAAACCTGGGCTCATCCCAGCTGCTTTCAAACTGTACTTTCACAAAACAGCTGCTCTTCATGGGGTCTCCAGGACATCCAGGCTTCGAAAGCACATGGGCTTTGGGAAAGATATGGGCTGGGAAGTGGGGATAAAAAGAGAAGAGGACAGAGTGCTTACTGAGTCCTCTTGTCTCCTTTATAGTGAGGGAGGCATCCTGGTCCCATTTCACAGAAGGAAACTTGAAGCCCAGGGAGGGCAAGTGACCCGCCAGCAGGCACACAGGGACCCGGGACTTGCAGGTGGAGCCGCTCAGCAGGCAGGCGAGTGTGCTGGAGACTTTCAGGGCCTGGGTGTGACCCCCTCAGGGCCCGTGAGGGTTAAAGGAGTAACACCACCAAGGGCTAAACCGACAGCCAGCTCCCACCGTTAGCTGGTAGTATTATCGTCATGATTGGACAGACCTTTGTTTGCAGACCCCAATCTGTCAGCACTCCTTGGGTGACCTTGGAAATCCCTTCTGTCTCTGATCCTCGGGGCCAAAATGTGTCCTGCTCAGCCAGCCTGAAGTGCTGTTTTTGTTTCTGTCTCTCTGTAGAGGCTGTGAGAGTTAATAGGACAGGAAAGGGGGTTTGGATGCTGAAGACAGTCGGGTGGGGCCCAGGGGAGCTGGGGGTCAGCCCCGAGGGATTCCAGCTTTCGGCAGTTTCCCCTGGGCTTTTCTGGAAGTGCCTGCCGACACCAAGAGTCCCTGTTGCTTCATCCGGCCGGGCGTGGCGACCTCGGCCCCGAGTGAAGGAGAACGCGGTCCTGGGAGGGCCACCTTAGTCATGGGAACTCGGGAAGCTCTCCGGGAGCGTCCTGCAGGTGGGCCGGGCCTGGACGGTGAGATCGGGGCTTAGTCAGAGGCCTGGCGGGAAGGACCTTGCTCTGCAAGTAACCACCTGGCAGGAGCGTTCCTGGCCTCCTTGGGGACACACCTGGCAATCACTGTGCCCAGGAGAGGCTGGAGGGGCCACCCAGGCCTGGCAGGAGTGGGGCAGCCACAGGTGGGACTCCTGAGGCCTCTGGGCTTGCCAGGAGGTGGACACCCAGCTCCTCCTCCTCTCTCCACCATCCACTTGCTGGATGAACCTGGGCAAGTCTGGACCTCAGGGCTCCCGACTATAAGGGAGGCGGCGCACCTCATTCTCTAATACCCACATCAAGCTTAAATTCCTCTATATTGGGCTCTTTGGAGAAGGAAATGGCAACACTCCAGTATTCTTACCTGGAGAAATCCATGGACAGAGGAGCCTGCCAGGTTATAGTCCATAGGGTTGCAAGAGTTGGGCATGACTTGCTGACTCAACCAGTACCACCACACTGGGCTCTTGGTTGCTTATTTGGCCCAGAGGACGGTGCACGGTGGGCCCCCAGTAGCTGTGATGTGAGCCAATGAATGAATGATTAAGGGCCTGTGGATCAAAGCACACCTCCCCCGCTTCTTTTCAGCCCACAGAATGCTTGGCATGGGGGTCAGCTTAGATGAGGGTCATCTCTAAAGATAGGGTGGCCACCTGGCCCAGGTGCAGAGGCGATCTCTTCGAGGCTCAGGTCGGCGGATTAGAACAAACCCATTAAGGGCCTTTGTGTGTTTAGTGTTTTGCATTCAAAATACTTAGAGAGAAAGGGTAATCTTTTGAAATCAGACCCAACTTGTTGGTTAATGTTGGTGTAAGTTATTTTTGGAGGTAGGGCCTGGACAAGGCGGCCAGAGCTCATGTGTAAAGGCGAGTTACCGGTACATGAGGTTATGTCTAATTACCTGAAATACCCTCCTCTGTTGAGTGAAAAACGCAGTTTTCATCAGCCCTGCATTAATTACAGCTGCCGAGAGCTGTAATTGGCAAAAGCATGCTTTTAGCTCATGACTCAAGGCTGACTCAACTTTGGGGACCGAGCTTTCCATGGCCCCAAGCTGGGCTCTGTTTTTTCCTGGAAACGCCTAAGTTGTTTGCCAAGCCCTTCGACCAGGCCTGTGGAGCTCCTGGGAGGCTCAGCACCCAGATTTGAGCCCCTGGCTTCCCCGCTGGGGGTGGAGGGCACGGAAGTGACCCCGGCTCTGTGCTCCCACGTTGACCACACGTCAACCCGAAGACCCCTTTGGAAAGGTGAGCAAAGGACAGTCTGTTGTAAGCAGTGGGGCTAGGAGCTGAAGCCAGCTCTTTCTGACTTTGAACTTACTCTTCTTTTCTAGTGCCCTTTGGGGGCCTCTCTCAGGTCACCTACTGAGCTCGGGGGGGGGGGTGTGGGGTGGTAGGGGGGCTGTCCCAGGAGTGAAATGGTCTCAGGAAGGTGGATCTTATTTCATGGCCATTCTGTTCAGGACTGAACTTGTTTCTGGTTCCGTCTGAAGGCCTTCAAGGACATGCCAGGTTATAAAATCCGAAGGACTTTCTGGGTGGGGAGAAAGGACTTGGTCATAAATCCTGGCCTTGCTTCTGGATGGATTGACTGATCATGCGTTCCCGTTTGTGAGACAAACGGCTTCCCTTCTCATTTATCTTCTCACCTGTGACCGACTCTGTTCTTGAGTCGCCTCACAGGCCTGACCTCAGAATGACCGCTTGGAAGGTTTCTGGGCGCCCTGCACACGGGTGTGATGTGAGATGCCTGCAAGGCTCCCCAGACCCCATGCCGCACCTCCCTCCCCCACCCCCTGCCCCCAGAAAGCATCCATTTCCCTCCAGGCCAGTTGGTTCTCCGAGGCTGACAAACCACATCTCATTCCTCGTTCCTTTATCAGCTCCAGTTCTGGAGGTGGGACTCATAGACCCATTCAACAGATGAGGAAACCCAGATTCAAAGTAGCAAAGTGGCTTTTTCATACCAGGATGAGAGACCAGGTTCTGGTTGATCCAGACCTGCTTTGGTCTTTCTGGAAAGAATGAGGTGAGGGTCCTAGTGAATTGGCTCCTGTTAATCACCTACCAGCACCCTTCCATTTGTGGCCAGAGCACATGACGGCCTGAGTGTGACAAGAATAAGCCACCCTCCAGGAGGCGAGTCCACGCTTAGCTCTTCACATCCGTGTGTGTGAGTTGCTCAGTTGTGTCGAATTTTTGCAACCCCATGGACTGTTGCCTGCCAGGCTCCTCTGTCCATGGAATTCTCTCGGCAAGAATACTGCAGTGGGTTGCCATTCCCTTCTCCAAGGGATCTTCCCAATCCAGGGATCGAACCCAGGCAACCGAGGGGCTTGGTTTTCTTATTCCATCTTTTCAGATCAGTAAACTGAGGCACAGAGAGAAGTTAGGCATCTCGTTCACAGTGATGAAGCCCAGATAGATGTTCAGCACAGTCCAGCTGGATGTGATCCAGCTTGACCGCAACCCCTCCAGGAGCAGGTTCCCCGCAGCTCCCCCCCACCACCCCCGTGGCGTGTCTCATCTACCGTGTGTGTTCCCTGAAGGACGGGTGTGGGGGAGAGGGTCAGGGGAGCAGGGTGGTGAGGCAGATGCCACCTCCTTGGGGATTTACAAGGCACAGCAGCACTTTAAGGACCTGGAACAGATCCTCCGTCCGTTGTGGAGTTAATTTTGTCGGCCTCTCCAGTTCCCCAAGTTTCCGACCATGGAAAGTCTCCTCTTGTCTTTTTGCTCTGTTTTCTTTTCTCTTCCCTCCCCCACCTTCCCTTTTCCTCTCTCCTCTCTCCATCTCCCTGTGGACGTCTGGGTCTGTCTGTCCCGCTCTCTCTTCCAAATCCGCAGGGACCACCGACTCTTGGGGAAACGGGGCCTTGCGACGCTGAGCAGGACGCAGCTCAGGCTGCGTCTGAAGGGATGCTCGTTCCGGGGCTGCTCCTCTGCCCCGGGAGCACTCGGGCGCCCCCAAAGCTCCGGGTCAACAGTGGTGCCCGAGCTCCCAAGGCTGGCGGTGTGCGCCTGCGCCTGGGGTTCCGCCCCCTCCCCGCTCCTGACTCCCGTGACCCGGGTCACTTTAGACGCGGCGGGCTGCACCCAAGTTTGGCTGGGGTTGCATCTACCGCTTCTGGCTGACCGCTGGCATCTGGCTGCCCCTCCCTCAGCGTCAGCTCTTCGGCCTGAGGTTGAGACCTGCCCGCCGTGGTTGCATGAGGCGGGGGTGAGAGGAGGAGGCCCAGGGTGACGGTTCATCTCCATACGAGTGAGCCGGCCAGTCCGCACTTGCATCCATCCCTACCCTCTCCCGCGGCAACAGGAAAGACGGGATCCTCTGTAATTGGCTTCACGTCTTGGTCACGGGTCAGAGCTGTTCCCGACTGCCAGAGTGACATATTGCTCCCTGACACAACGGCCATTGCAACACTTTAAAATTTTTTTTTTTTAAGATTTTGAATGCCAAGAAATGCTCAGTTTCTCTGAGATGTCTTTGGTTGACTCTGATGTTTAATTCTCCTCCCCAAGACAGGGGCCTGCTCATTCTCTCCTCTGGCTGCCAGACCTGTTGTTTTTTAACATAACCTTTCTCTGAGGTTCTAAAAACAACTTTTAACCAAATAGCGATGATTCATTTCTGGATGGGACAGCAGAATGAAAAGATTAAGATTTGCAGTTTCTCCTGGACCAACTCCCCTTTTATCTGCTCATCTCCTTCCCTTTCTTCCTTACCTACCCCGCCCACCTTCCCCTGGCCTGCTCTCCAAGCCTCAATTAGCAGATGGGTGGGGAGCTTGGTCAAGGGCTCTGTTGTGGGTGGTCTAGACGGTTGAGAGCATTTGCTCTCTGCATCTCCAGCTCTGGGGAGATGGGCTGCTGACATAAGTGGGAACATCTTCTCAGGAGAGTCCAAACCATCAGAGACTCAACTGCTGATGGTAAATTAAAAGAAAAAAAAAAGAGAGAGAGAGAGACAAAATATCCTGAAGGCAGTATGTGGACAAGAGGATCTGACCTCACTCTGCAGCATCCAGACCCCATGACCTCGGTCTTCTTAGATCATCAGGGTTTGCTCTTGGTGGGCTGGAGCAACACAGCAGAGAGGAAGGAAGACAACTGATGCTTGCTGAGACCTTCCTCAGTGCCATGTGCTTTATTCGGGCCCACAGATTTTGTCACTCCCAGCCAATAATAACAATGATGTGGGCAGCAAGGACATGCAGGGGTGCTGTGTACTGGAAATCATTCCCAGTGCTTTGCATGGACCGACAAATGTCCGTCTAGTTAAGCTATGGTTTTCCCAGTGGTCATGTATGGATGTGAGAGTTGGACAATAAAGAAAGCTGAGTGCCGAAGAATTGACGCTTTTGAACTGTGGTGTTGGAGAAGACTCTTGAGAGTCCCTTGGACTGCAAGGAGATCCAACCAGTCCATCCTAAAGGAGATCAGTCCTGGGTGTTCATTGGAGGGACTGATGTTGGAGCTGAAACTCCAAAACTTTGGCCACCTGATGCGAAGAACTGAGTCGTTTGAAAAGACCCTGATGCTGGGAAGGATTGAAGGCAGGAGGAGAAGGGGATAACACAGGATGAGATGGTTGGACGGCATCACTGACTCAATGGACATGAGTTTGAGTAAACTCCAGGAGTTGGTGATGGACAGGGAGACCTGGTGTGCTACAGTCCGTGGGGTCACAAAGAGTCGGACACAACTGAGCAACTGAACTGAACTTGCATGTACTTACTAATTTAATTTCATAGCAGTCTTCTTAAGTGGGACCTCTTATTATTTGATTTTACAGGAGAGGGTTTTGGAGCACAGAGATGTTCAATAACTTGATTAGGGTCACACAGCTCAGAGGTGATGGAGCCAGAAATCAAAACTTAATACTCTGACTCCAGGGTCCATGCTATTATCCATATCTTCAGACTGCAGATTACTTAATAGGGGGAGGTTCCCCCAGACTGTGGTAGGTACTGGGGACAGAGATGTTGACTGGGGACAGGGCCTGGGGAGGGCTGCACATCTAGGCCACAGCTCTAACACCGGTATGAACACAGTTCTCCTGAGCATGGTTCCATGTGCGAGAGCACGAGCTGGAATGCTCTCCCTCGGGCCAGGGATGGTTGTGGGTGGCTGTGTCACCAACACACACAAGCAGACCCTTGTCCTGGGGAAGTGACAGCCTGGGGCACACAGGAAGAGGGCCACGGAATAAGTCTTAGATGGACAGGGATAGACAGTTGTCAGTCACGGCTGCTGCTGCTGGACCATTTCTTAGTGAGGTTCTCACGTGGTTGAGATCAGAAGGTAGTTCTGGTCACCACGCAGTAGTCTCTGTGTGGTCCTGACTCCACAGGGAGGCTTCCGACCTGTATCGATTCACCCTTTGGTGATCCTTGCCGATGTTGTTCCAGCCAGCTAGCCAGGGAGGGGATGGGACAGCTCATTGGATGGGAGACGTCATGATGATCAGAGGCAGGGTTTGTCCCCGAGTGTAGACAAAGCAGATGGAGTTCTGTCTGGCCAGGCTGGTTTCCTGTTGTTTACCTGCATATACTCCATTTCATCAGGCAGCTCAGTGGTAAAGAATCCACCCGTAATGCAGGAGCCACAGGAGACCTGGGTTCAATCCCTGGGTTGGGAAGATTCCCTTGGAAGAGGGCATGGCAACCCACTCCATGGAGTGGAGTGGAGAATCCCATGGACAGAGGAGCCTGGAGGACTATAGTCCACAGGGTTGAAAAGAGTTGGAGATGACTGAAGTTACTTAGCACGCACATCATTTCATCTTATTTCACTTTCTTGTCATCTTCTGGAACAGCCCCCAGCAGTGAGGCTTGATTTCTGTTCTCCCAAGCAGAAGCAGAGATGAAGCAGCCTGTGGTCCATGAAAGACGTGTATGTGGAGCCAGGATCCACAGTTGCTTCTCTGTTGGCTTGGGTTCCACCACTCGCTGGGCCTTTCCCTTCAAGCCCATGGCTGCTCTCTCTCTCTCCTTCCCCCTGCCCTTTCTCCATCTTCGGTGGCATGGGATGGGCGCGGAGAGGGGGCCTCTTAGCCTGCAAACCCCTTCTCCCCTGCCACTGTAGTAGCTCTGGATCCACCTCGGCCTCAGAGCGTGCCAAGTTTGGCACTGAATGCAGCAGCCCCTTTGGAGTAAAAATTTGGTTTCCCCTTGGAAAAAGGCTACTTCCTGATTGCTGGAGAAGGAGGAGAAAGTCTTTAAAAGGCTCTGGTGTTCCTGTTGGCTTCCAAAGCATCAGCCTCCAGCATTTTGATGATTTAAGTGTCGATGGATTAGAAACATGTGGTCCGTGTTTCCCTTGAATTCAAATGCATGTTGAACTTAAAGGAAAGTTTAGGAAAAGAAATGCAGAGAAACAGTCCGGGTTTTACTCAATGCCCTGACTTTGAAAACTTGGCTTGAGGTATTAGCAGAGTATGTGGGCCCTCTGGAAATGTATCCAGTTGGCCAGGAGGCAGAAGGGACTTGTGTGGACCCCCAAGCCCCTCCGAGCACTTAACCCAGGTTGGTTTTCTGCAGCTCTGAGCTTGGGGAAAGGCTGAATGTTTGGGGGAAAAAATAGAGCTTCAGCATCCTCCCTTCCATCCTGATTTTGCCTGAGGCATATACAGATCTGGCCAGTGAACCTGCAGGGGGCATCTCCCAGGTGCCAGCGTTCTCGGTAGGTTTTATCTGAACTCATTGTGCCGGTTCTTTCTTACCCCCTGCTCCGTGCAGCGGAGTCCCTCCGTGTCCCGCCTCTCCGCCTTTGCCTGCACTGCTTCCTACCTGGCATGCTCCTGTCCCAGGCTTTATCCCAATCTTGTCCATTCGCGCCTACAGTACACAGACCAGAATCTGTGCTCCATCAACACTTGGAGGGATGTCCAAGGACTCACAGTGAGATGAGGCTGCGGCAAAGCCAGGACCTGTGATGAAACCCATAACTGGCCCTTTTCAGACTCAGCATGCTGAGCTGCGCAAAGGGATGCTGACGTTGGCTCTGGCCGCTAAGCTCCCCTTCATCGTTTTGGGAGGGTTTTCTCTGGCCCCTTCGCTCTCCCGCCTTGTGGAGTGCAGGCAACGATTTTCTCTGAATAGAACGGGGAAGGGATTCCGCTTTCATGTGGTTGCGAAGCAGAGGGCCACACAGACATCCACGGGGTTTACGGCCAAGCTTGAGAGGGAGGTGGTAAATTCGCTGGGGAGAGCCCTGCTCCCAACAGCTCGCTGGGAACAAGGCCTATAAATAGCTCCTGCCAGTCAAAGCGTAATGATTTCAATCTTCCTGCTGTATAAATAAACAGTGTTATTCAGGAGTTCTCCTTGGCTGCAGTTCTGGCCGGTACGTCTCAAAGGCTTGCAGACGATCCAGCTGGAATTTTCAGCAAAGGCGAAGAAACTGACCTGGGGGAGTGACTACTGTGTGCTCGGCCTCCTTCAGTTCAGTTCTGGAGACATTTAAATAGGTAATCTCCTTAAGCCCTCCTGCTGACCCAGGAATCGGTGTTGTCCCCCCTCCCCCCTCAACTTAGGAGGAGGTGGGGGTCCAGAGATGGCAGGAAACGTACGGGCGATCAGAGGCCAGGGGACAGGGAAGTGAGCTCAAGAGCCTGCAGCCCCCTCACTGTCTCAGGTATCCTGCAACAACCCCGCAAGGTCAATATTTTTGTAAGACCCATGTTTTTCTTTGGTAATATAAATAACACATGTTCTTTTCTTTGCAGGAAAGTTTGAAAGTGGAGAAATGTACGAAGAAAATTAAAATCACCTGCATCCTTGCCACCCAGAAAAAGACACACAAGTACGTTTTGTTTACGCCCTCCCGATGTTTAGACAGATAAGCAGTTAGATCTGAGAAAGAGAGACGACCTTACCGAGGCATACACGGATGGATAGACATTTTAAAAAACAGAACTGAGGGGAGAGAGCAGATTCTGTTTTTCAGGGTTTTTTGCTCACTTAACATTGACGATGAGCTTCTGACGCCGACTTTCCATGGGAGACTTGGGGAAGTGAAATGACTAGTCTACACTTATTAGGATAAATGTAGGATCCTCCTGCCTTCCTGTCACCTCTCTGCCTCTCTTTCTCCATACCTGTCTTCAGGTACAGATACCGTTGGGACATAAATTCACTGGTCCATTCACATCTTTCCAGATGCCCTGGATTGCTAGAGGTCCATGTTCCAGTCCTGACTCTGTGACTCATTAGCTGTTTGGCCTTACAGGACTCAGCTTTTGGTGTCTCTCATCTGTAAAATGGATACATTTTGATTCAAAGTTCTACTGAATCTGAAAGTGTTTGATGAGAAGCTCTTTACAGGTATGTTTCCAGCATTGGGTAGAGCATTGGTTTGGGATGTGAAAGTTTGTTTTACACTGATTTACTGTGAAAGCTTGGGAAAGCCATTTAGCCTCTGTAACATGAGGACAGTGATATCTCCTTCATAGAGTTGTTATGAGAATAATAATAATAATAATAGGAGGTATTTACTGAGTACTTCTTTGGTGCCATGGGCTGTGTTGTGGTTTTTTCATGCATCTGTTTGTTTGATTCTCAAGACAAATCTATGGAGATGGGGCTGATTATTATGCCCATTTTACAGATGAGGAAGTTGAGACAGAGTTAAAAAACTGAGGATTGAGGTTATGCAGCTTGATCTGAGTTGCACGAAGACCCTTTGAAATTGGAAATTCTTTTTTCCTATATAAGACTCAAGTCAAGCTTCTGATTAAACAAATTTGGGTTAGGATGTTTTTCTGTATTACTATTTTTCAAAATGTAGCCAACAAAGAAAAGAAAATAACTTTTTACTTCCCTAAAAACCAGAATAAGGCAGAGTCCCAAACCATAGAATGTAAAGCATGCCTTCCAAAACCTGTGAAATGCTAATTGTTGGAGAGTGCCCAGAGCTGGAACCCATCTCCTTGAACCCTGAGTAGGACACTCATTTCCCCAAGAATAAGTGACCCAGGGTTAAAAAGCATATCCAATGACCCACTGATTATGACATCATCATCTAGGGCGCAGGTGGACTCAGCTTGACATCACACAGTGATGGGATGGTGGAGGAACAGGATACTCTAACCCAATATGCCATTTGTGATACTCTGATCTAAGGTTCCTGGTTTGAGAAAAGTGCTGGATATAAAGCAACTTAGAGGCGGACAGAAAGGTGAGAGATGCTGGACCAAATGCAGAGACCTCCAGTGGCGAAGAGAAGTTCCCTCTCGAAAGTCAAGCAGGATAGAGACATCACTCAGGGCAAAAAAAAAAAAAAAAAAAGAAAAGAAAGAAAAAAAATCATATGTAGTAACCAAGAGACTCCAGACCACAGGCGATGTCTACAGTTAATTATCTTTACCCTTTGCTCCAAGTCAACACATGGGTGGTTACACAGAGGAACTAGGCTGGGACCTACTAATGATAAAAATGAAATAACTAAACATGGAGGGAAAAAGTTGTCCATCAAAGGGCACATCAAAGGAATATATAACATAAACTGCCCAAGAAGATAGTGAAAAAGTTTAGACAAATGCTTCTCTATAATGTTGAAAATATTATTGAAAGTATAAACCTTTTAAGATAGAGCACAAGAAGAAATTGTAAAACAACGTAAAGTAAACTGGCAGAACTCAAGAAAAAAAAAACCCTGATGTGTAAAAGACAAATGTTACATAAATTAAAGCCCTATTAGAGTCTTTAAAAATTAGAGTTAATATGACAGAAAGCATCATCAAAGATATGATGGCCTGGCTAGCTCTGCAGGCCCTGTTGGCATTTCGAACAGGACTTGCATCATAGGGCTAGATTCCTGTTGTTTAAGGACGTTTAGGATTCTCAGCCCTCATCCCCCAAGTGCCAGTTATGCCCATCTTTGCCCTAGTTACTGTGTTGACCAAAAATACCTTCCCACTTTCAAAGTATAAGGATATGAAAATGATATAAAAGATGACGTATCTTTATAATTGATAGGTAGATAAGAGAAGTATGACAATGTACAGATTTGTGTATCTTTAGGAAGAGACCAGAACAAGTTACACAGAAACATATTAAATGATATAACGGAAGAAAACTTTACTTAGATAAATAAAGGGCTGATCAGAAAGCACAGAATGTCCCAGGAAAGCATGATATAGAATGAGTGAGTGACAATAATGTATACCACCATGAAAAAACTGAATTTCAAGAAGGCTAGAATTCTATTGTCTTCTACGAGAAAATGCAAGTTTTAAGATGTAAAGGAGAAAAAGAGGGTTATCTTAGAATTTTCCACAACTACATTCGAAGCCAGAAGTCTAGTGTCTACCAAATGGTAAAGATAGGAATAAAAGGTGGGCTTCAAGAATTTTAAGCCAGTTCTAACATCTACTTCTGCTTTATTGACTATGCCAAAGCCTTTGACTGTGTGGATCACAACAAACTGTGGAAAATGCTTCAAGAGATGGGAATACCAGACCACCTGACCTGCCTCCTGAGAAATCTGTATGTGGGTCAAGAGGCAGCAGTTAGAACTGGACATGGGACAATGGACTGGTTCCACATTAGGAAAGGAGTACGTCAAGGCTGTATATTGTTGCCCTGCTTATTTAACTTATCTGCAGAGTACATCATGTGAAATGCCAGGCTGGATGAAGCACAAGCTGGAATCAAGATTGCTGGGAGAAATATCAATAACCTTAGATAGGCAGATGACACCACCCTTGTGGCAGAAAGAGAAGAGGAACTGAAGAGTCTCTTGATGAAAGTGAAAGAGGATAGTGAAAAAGCTGCCTTAAAACTCAACATTGAAAAAATGAAGATCATGGCATCCAGTCCCATCACTTCATGGCAAATAGATGGGGAAACAATGGAAACAGTGACAGGCTTTATTTTCTTGGGCTCCAAAATCACTGCAGATAGTGATTGAAGCCATGAAATTAAAAGGCACTTGCTCCTTGGAAGAAAAGCTATGACCAATCTNTGGCATCCAGTCCCATCACTTCATGGCAAATAGATGGGGAAACAATGGAAACAGTGACAGGCTTTATTTTCTTGGGCTCCAAAATCACTGCAGATAGTGATTGAAGCCATGAAATTAAAAGGCACTTGCTCCTTGGAAGAAAAGCTATGACCAATCTAGACAACATATTAAAAAGCAGAAATATTACTTTGCCAACAAAGGTCCGGCTAGTCAAAGCTATGGTTTTTCTAGTAGTCATGTATGGATGTGTGAGTTGGACCATAAAAAGGCTGAGCATTGAAGAATTGATGCTTTTGAACTGTGGTGTTGGAGAAGACTCTTGAGAGTCCATTGGACTGCAAGGATTTCGAAACAGTCAACCCTAAAGGCGATCAGTCCTGAGTACTCACTGGAAGGACTGATGCTGAAGTTCCAATTCTTTGGCCACCTGATGCAAAGAATTGACTCATTGGAAAAGATCCTGATGCTGGGAAAGATTTAAGGCAGCAGGAGAAGGGGATAACAAAGGATGAGATGGTTGGATGGCATCACTGACCTGATGGAAATGAGTTTGAGCAAGCTCCGGGAGTTGGTGGTAGACAGGGAAGCCTGGCTTGCTGCAGTCCATGGGGTCACAAAGAGCTGGACATGACTGAGTAACTGACCTGAACTGAACCAACCTGAAACAAAAACCTCTTTATTTCAATCAGAAGAAGGCAGAATTTTGAAATTTAATTTAATTTAATTTTTTGGCTGCACCTTGCATCAAACAGGATCTAGGGTCCCTGACCAGGGTTTGAACCCACCCATACCCTCTGTAATGGAAGGGCAGAGCCTTAACCACTGGACCATCAGGGAAGTCCCAGAATAAAGCAATTTTTAAGCCAAATTGCACTGTTTTAAAATTCAGATATAAAAGTTTTAGAAATATTGACAAGCATGTACAAACTTGCCAATTGTATCAACTTAGGAATCTTTCAGGGAAAATAAACACAGTTTATTTCTCCAATTAAACATCCTAATTTACCTTGAAGTTTAAATCTAGGCAACTAAAAGATGAACTAAAATAAACAATCCAGGGATCGTGACATCATGGTTAGATGGTAAACATCATAGTCTTTAAATATAAGGCTAAGACTGACCAAATGAAATTTTCTTCAAGGAACAAGCCATAAATAGTGTAAAGCTGAATACTAGTAACACAGCTGATGTATGTTGAAAGGTAGGGAGTGAGAAATATAGTGTAAAACGAAAATGGAATTTAAAGATGATTTCAATGTGTGTTATAATCTCTTTTCTTAGTTTAGAGGAAGATTTTAGAAAAGAAATCATATTCCTTGTAGTGAAGAAAATGGATTTGAAATAAGTTTTTCAATTTTACTTTGGCTTCTTTTTTCCTCCATTCAGCTAAAACTTAAAGAGAATTTAGTACTTTTAAATATTAAAAATAATGTACATGATGTATTCCTGTTTTTGTCCCCATATCTTTCTTTCACTTTATCACGTCTCTGTCCTTTTATCTATCTTTGAACATAGAATAAAGGCTGGAGTAGTGTTTACCAAATATTGATGACCATTGTTTCTGAAAGGTGGAATTTTAGATAATTTTTTTACTAGCCCCTTTGCACTTCTTTTGTATTGCTGGAAAATTTTCACAATGATCACATATTATACTTACTAAATAAATTAAGTCAAAATTCTAAAATAAAGAAGCAATCACAATGGATAAAAAAGGCAAAGCTAATTTTTTTTCATCCCCATTTTAAGATGAGAGTTGCCCATCTGAGCTGCCCGTTCTCCAGACTGGAATTCTAGTAATGACTATAAACTGACCTTTCTTGTTCCTAACATCTTTCCCAAGAATAGCTGAAATGCTTTATAACTCAGGTTAAGTCTAAAAGAAATGGAGCCAAACAGTGGGATCAAGGACAAGGTTGTGCACATTGAAGCTGATTATAAAAAACATTTTATTTAACTATGATGAGATGGTATTACAGACCCCAATGCTTCTTTCCTTGAGAATTGTCAGACATGGGGGCAGGTATGACTAAGGTTACCTGTTGTGACTCATTTGGATACTGATAGTTGTCATCTGTTGATTCACTTTGCATAAGATCTCATAACAATAATGTGCAGTTAAGGTCTAGTATTATATAATGCTCCTTATTTGCACTCTGCTAAATACTTTCACATATGTAATCTCACTTATAATCTATGGGAGAGGCAGTATCATAACCAATTTACAGACAAGAAAACAGAGGTTCGAATAACTCCCACAGGAGTTTAACTTCTAAGTCAGAACCAAGATCTTGATTGTAGATGAATGTGTGGGAAGCAGCTCATTAGCAATTGGACTTTAGAATTTATTTCCTAAGCCAGT